CCGTCAAGGCATATCGGTGCAAACGAAATTGAAGTAGCAACAAGTATAACTCCGGCTGAATTGTCGGGCCGACCAGTAGAATATCATTTAATGAACGTTGCGATGTTGTTGGACATGACGCATCAAAAACCACCCTCAGCTTGGTCGATGTGCTCGACGGTTTTAAAACACAATGATGAGGGATATAATAATGTGGTTCGTTGGTTTTCGGAGTTTCAACACGCGTCATGTGTCCGAGCTCTCGATATTGTTTCATGAATTCTTGATAGTCTTGCTTTAGTGCACGATTAGATGACAAGCGCCGTTCTACAGAACAAAAACGGCGTAAGGCGATATTGTGTGTCAAACCAAGACAATCTGGCGAATCCTTGAATGATAACCGAACGACAATTCTTCCCGTCGCATTTTGGTGGACCGTTTCACGATATAATGACTCACACGCAACATGTGCTGGTGACCATGACTTTGCAGCCGGTTGCACTTCCTCTATCTTCCACATCATTTCTAATTGATCTGAAATTGTATCTTCAACTGATAATAGGCATTTTGCTGCTGGTGATGCAAATGGCTGACCCTTGTACTTGCCAGATACGATCCATCCTAATAGTGTTTTTTGAAGTACTGGTAGATTTTCACCTAGTTTGATTTGACCGACAGACAAAATGTCAAAGAAACTTTCAGCTCCAAGCAAAAGGTCAACGCGCTTGGATTTAAAGAATTGCTCATCGGCGAGAGGTGTATTGGATGGAACCTTTCACGACGATATATCGATTTCAGAACTTGGTTGATATGCGATGTGATTCGTAATACCAAAGTTTAAAGCAAGTTCAAGATTTGAATGACGAGATTTGATTGATGTGAGCGTCTGATACTTTATATTGGTCAACGAACTACCAATACTGGAAACATGCAGCCGATGTTTATGTTTTGATAAACTAAGCTTCTTTGAAAACTCCTACGTTATGAAATTGACCTGAGAGCATGAATCAAGTAAGGCTCTACCCACTTGATAACTTCCCGATGAGTCCTTCACTAAAACCAATGCAGTGGCTAGAATTATTTGCTCGGCCGATGACATGTTAAGATGGGAATGGCTGGCAACATTGTCGTTGGGCATAGCGGCGTGTTCTGTGCGTCGTGATGATCCGGCGCTCTTAATATTCGTTGGTAATTGCGAATGATGCAAGAGAGTGTGATGTGGCTTTGCGCAAACCTTACATTTAAACGTTGATGTGCAATTAACCACATGATGGCGTCGCGATAAGCAGTTTATGCAGAGTTTAAGGCCCTTCACCTTTTCAAACCTTTGAACCACCTCCAGTGCCTTAAAACGATGACAATTCTGTATTAGGTGTTCATTGCTAGAACAAATTGAGCAAGAATTGCTGGATGTAGATGCAACAAATGCGTATTGTTTTGAGCGTCTGTTAGTCTTGGAGTTAAGATTATTAGGTTTACGTTGTGGTGATGACTGATTGCCGTTTCCACTGTCGAGTGATTCGAGAAACTGGCAATGCCTATCCAACAATTTTGAGCAATCCTCCCAACTGGGTAATGTGTCGAAGTTACGCGATTCATTCCATTTCCTACGTGTAATTGCGTCCGTTTTTTCCATGATTAGCGAGATAAGTAGAGCCTCACATATTTGTTTCTCTGTACCTAGCGAACAGAGTGGACCATACAAAGCGGATGCATTGTTTACCAGACTACGGAGTTGTTGGCTTGACTGACCCGATACTGCTGGTAGATCAAATAGTGTCGCGATATTTTCGGCGAAGATTAGACTATTATTGTCATAGCGCGATTTAAGCCTATCCAAAGCCTTTGGATAGTTTTCATTCGAAATAGGAAATGCCTGTACTGTCTCTAGAGCTTGACCAGTAAGGCAGTTCAATAAGTGGTTAAATTTTTCAATATTTGTGAGGTATATTTCGCGATCTATGATTTGGAGAAACGAATTAATAAAATTGTTATAATCCGAGTACTTACCACTGAATGTAGGTAATTTTAACAGTGGTAATTTTTTACTTGAGGTGGGCATCATTGCTGTTACATCTAGCACTGACGCATTGTGGGCCTCTTCCTGCAGTTGAGACATGATTAATATTTTGGTGGAAACGTATAGGTCTTCTAATTCATCTCTAGCTGTGTCAGTTGCATCTAATTTCTCGATCAAAGTCTGAAAAGCTAGGATTTGTTTAAAATATGATTCTAAAATACCTAGTCGACATTTCAGTTCTGGTTGTGAAAGCGAATTGCTCTTTCCTTTGACGAACGCCTTGATCCTTGAAATGCTCGCTTTCGTCGAGGCTCGCTGTTGTTTTAGTTCTGACAGTTCTGCCGTAGTGGTTGGCTCTGCCGTTGCCATTGGAACAGTTGTAGATACCTGGGAACAGCAAAGGATTTGACGAAGTCGAAAACTCACAATAGCAGCAGCGAACTTTACGAAATTGAACTGCTCTTACGGTGGTTGTTGTCAGACGCGACGTTGACGAACCCGCACACTAACTGATTGGAAGCAAATAATAACCAGTAATCAACAAGTAAAGTTATCTTGTTGTTGTTGTAATTGTTGAACGCGACCTTGATGCAGCCACGAGGTTCTATTTGGCGCTTAGCGGAACCGAAGCCAAGAACCATAGAATGCACACTAGTACACACGTACGATAGTATGTAGTATAGATATACGATATTATTATGGTTAACACACGTTAGATATATAACTGTTTAGGAGCAATACTCACACGCGCACATTATAGTTACAAATTAACCAAAAACAATAAAAGCGAAAGTATGTACAATCAACAAGTAAAGGTATCTTGTTGTTGTGAATTTAACTGTCGAGCGCGATCTTGATGCGGACACGAGGTTCTATTTTGAGGTTAGCGGACCTAAACCGAGAACCACCAATTGGACAATAGTATATACGTACGATAGTACATATGTAGTATATATATAGACGTACGATATATTATAATAGTTAGCACGCGTTAGCTATATAACTGGTTAGAAGAAATATTCACACGCGCACTTTAATGGTTACAAATTAACCAAAAACAATAAAAGCGAAAGTATGTACAATCAACAAGTAAAGATATCTTGTTGTTGTGAATTTAACTGTCGAGCGCGATCTTGATGCGGACACGAGGTTCTGTTTTGAGGTTAGCGGACCTAAACCGAGAACCACCAATTGGACAATAGTATATACGTACGATAGTACATATGTAGTATATATATAGATGTACGATATATTATAATAGTTAGCACGCGTTAGCTATATAACTGGTTAGAAGAAATATTCACACGCGCACTTTAATGGTTACAAATTAACCAAAACCATTAAAAGCGAAAGTATGTACAATCAACAAGTAAAGATATCTTGTTGTTGTGAATTTAACTGTCGAGCGCGATCTTGATGCGGACACGAGGTTCTGTTTTGAGGTTAGCGGACCTAAACCGAGAACCACCAATTGGACAATAATATACGTACGACAGTACACAGAATAGCACTATTCAATTTGCCAAAAGTCCTGTCACGGTCGCCAATGTAAATTATAAGCGTTTTTATAATTGGGTTTTGTGATCTTTATTTGATTTTATTTAATTTATACAATTGAATTTATATAATTTCGGTTATTGATTGTTTAATTACTTTAAATAAAATCAATGTGAATTATAAGCGTTTTTATAATTGGGTTTGTGATCTTTAATTGATTTTATTTAATTTATACAATTGACTTTATATAATTTCGGTTATTGATTGTTTAATCACTTTTTTGTGTGTACCCGTGTGTTGACACGTTCGCGATCGAAAAACAAGAGACAGAATCAAACCAACGGAGTTTACTTGCAGCCAAAAAATATAACAAAAAATTGCTCATCTCGAGCGCAAAAAACAAAAGGCAATAAAAACAAGAATTAGAACCGTTGGTTTGATTACATCTTATACAGGGTTAGTTAGATAAATTAATTAACCATATATTAACCATATAAATATTATATATGAATTATATAATATATTAATTATAATAATTTAATTATACAATATGTGATTTACAATAGATTAAAATATAATAAAATATAATATATAAATCATATAAGACATCAATTATAATAATTCTACAGAATCCTACAATATTAACAATTTGACTTTAACCGCTCTAACAGATAATTTTATCAATTTCTTCAGACTGTATTTTGTCGACCAACCAAATAAAAATATGCGCGTGTAATGTAATAAATAAATTTGGTCTTCCGTACGCGCGCACAAAAGTCATGACGTCTTGAATATATTTTTGCATATGACATGGAATACCAATATATATATATATATAACAAAGTTAATAGATTCAAAACACAATGGCAAATATATTCAGTAATACAAATATTTAAGCACAAACGCCGTGCACACGCAAAGACGACCAGAAAAGAACTGCGGCTCTGCTCAAGCACGTCAAAAAGCACTGTTGTATTTCTGACAACCAATTACCGGGTACTTATCCTCAGCTACCGACTACTTTACATAAATATATTATTATATTGTATGACAGGATTGCATATAATGAAAATATAAAAAAAAAATGTGTTTTTCTTTTATTATGTTATTTAAAATTTAATTCCTGGATTGCTTCAGGATCAGAATTCTTTACGAAGTTATTAAATTTCTTCTTATTAGAATTAGCAACAAAAAATCTGCTCATTAGTAGGCATCCGAGAATGGCGAGACAAAAATAAAAAAAAGAAATTTTGTGTAAGCTGCTTGAGCTCAATTTCAAATCTGAATTTTATTAACAATTTTCCAAACTATTTATACAAAATATTTTACTATAATTTACAATATTTTTCCTAATAATTTTAATTGCGGCACATTCAAGTGTGTCATATCGACATGTGCAGAATAGTAGCACAGAAAAGAAAAGTGTCAAATAGCAATTGTATACTTGCTATGACCAAATATTCTACTTGCATTGCGGTGGTTCGCATTACATATTACATTGGTTAACATAAAATAATTTGTGCATAAGCACTTTCAAAAATACATAAAATAATTTATTGTTTGTTTTTGTTTACATTGGTTGCGCTATATACAACATAATCAATAATATCAATAGTTTTCTTCAATAATTCAAGTTATTCATAATAATTATTTAGAATTACAATGTTTATATTCGTTATATTTACTTCACAAAAAAGTATGTAATATGGTAAGAAACAATGTAGAAGAAAAAAAATCCAATAGAAAAAAAATTGAGCTTGTAGTAAAGAATGCAATAAAATATAAGTTTTTAATAATTTTATTTTAAAGTTTCTTTTCAACTAACAATTATGTTGCTTCGATAACAACGAACTTAAAACTTGAACGTATGTGTTTTAAGAAACAGGATTGTCAAATTTTTATTTGATTTGTGATTTATTAACTTCTGTTTTTGATGATGCCACATGAGCGCCACATCACTCCCCCACCAGTGGTTGAGTAGAAACGATGCCACGTTATATGTACTTGATCCTATGTCAAAAATCTGACAGGTAATCGAATAACTCTGCCACTGGATGCGCTATGACCAGAGTTGAGCTCCTGCTGAGGTCTTCGTATAGGTTGTGCATCTGGACTTGACTGAAGTGAAATATATCGTGACAACTGTGTGTTTGATTCGATTTCTTCATTCAACAAGTAAGCCGCCTTCACTCTATCAATGCTCACTTGGACAGGTCGGTCTTTGATTAAAATGGTAATAAGCTTACGATCACGCCGTATCACTTTGTATGGTCCGTCATAAGGTGATTTCAAGGGAGGTCGAACGTTATCATCCCTTAGGAACACGTGTGAACACGTCTGCAGGTCTCGTTGAACGAACGTTTTCGCTTTTGCATGATTTGAACCTGGAACCGGACATAATTGATCCATGGTCTCCCTAAGAAAAATTGCGAATTCGGAGTCACATCCGATGTGAGACGTCTTCTCAAAGAATTCTCCTGGAAGCTTAAGAGATGTACCATATACCATTTCCGCTGGACTAGCTTGGATGTCGTCTTTGAACACACTCTGTAAAGCCAGCAATATCAGTGGTAATTCCTCTGTCCACCTTTGATTAGACTTACACTTCAGTGCAGCTTTTAGTGTTCTATGAAATCGTTCCAGAATTCCGTTCGAATGTGGATGTCGCGAACTTGTACGTAGATGTTTAGTACCAATCAACTGCATAAGTTCAGCGAACAACTTTGATTCGAACTGCCTCCCTTGATCTGTAGTGATCTCTGAAGGAACGCAATAGTGTGAAACCCATCCCGTGATGAACGCCGCAGCTACTGTGTCTGCACTAATGTCCATAATGGGAATAACAACAGGCCACCGGGTAAATCGATCTATGCATGTCAGGCAGTAGCTGTATCCGTCTGATGGTAGTAATGGCCCCACGATATCAAGGTGTACTGCTGCAAATCGCCGGTCAGGTGCCTTGAAGGTTCCGAGTACTGTTTTGTTGTGTCTATCTATTTTAGCTCGCTGGCATTGTGGACATGTTTTTACCATTTTTGCTACATCCCTTTTAATGTTTGGCCAGACAAATCGTTCACTGATCAGTTTTGCCGTGGCCTTGCTGCCTGGATGACCTAAGTTATGTATGGTGTGAAAAACTTGTGAACGAAATTCATCTGTGATCCACGGTCGCACATGCTTTATTGAGAAATCGCACGTAATAAAATTCGATGAACTAGGTAGATGCACCAATTTAAGCTGAAGCGAAGTCTTGGCCTGTGATAAGAGTCGTTGCAGCTCCATGTCATTTCTTTGGCTCTTTCCTAATTGATCAAAGTCAATCTGCTTTTCCCCCTGTATTGATTCAATGCGTGACAGGAAATCAGCAACGCTGTTGTCTTTACCGGGAAAATGTCTGATATCGGTAGTAAACTAACCTATGTAATCCAGATGACGGAGTTGCCTGGCCGATGCTTTTTCAGGATTTTGCTGAAATGCAAAAATGATGGGTTTATGATCAGTTAACACCGTACAGTTCCTGCCTTCTACCATATGTTTGAAATTCTTAATTGCTTGATAAATGGCAAGAAGTTCTCTATCATAGGTACTGTACCGTCGTTGTG